ATCATTAATAAATAATCAATTAATCAATCAATTACAAGAGAGGCCACAGCACATCTGATGGTTACACAGAAAGCTCCTTTCAACTCAGTGTACTCCATGAAATGTACAGTAAGAAACAGATAAATACTGTAAAATGAATCAACAGTACACTACATGTGAGTACACACTAACAATCACTGCTGGGTGTTATCAACAGATAACACTCGAGCAGATATTAGACTACCATTGGATATAAGCTCTAAGTTTAGCTAAAAAAATTATCTATGAGGAAACAGAGATAGATAATAGATTTTCTCTAAGCAGCTAGTGTTGAATAAGGAACTGGGCTGCAGAGTACTGCTAGGCAGACTGCAAACCACATTCATTGTGATTTTCATAAAATAACAAGCTAAACTTGAGTACTGAACTTGGCTTGGCCACCACGATCACATCAAAGAAATTTCAATTTTGGGAACTACCTTGACAATATTAAAAATTACCTTGTGGATGGTTATCATTTTCATGATAATTGTCCCAAGAACGATAACGAGGTAAACTCTGGTGATAGGATCTATGGTCTCTATGATCACGTCTATGATCTCTATGATCTCTTTCTCTCTCTGGTCTCTGATCTCTCTGATCCCTCTGGTCTCTTGGATCTCGTTCACGATATGACTGCTCTTCATTACTACTACCCCCATGCCACTCCCAATCCTTACCCTTAGGACGGAATTTCCCTTTATGATGCCAAGCATTGGAATTGTTGGATGCAGAGTTATGAGTAGAACTGTGTCCATTATTTGATGGAGAAGCTGAACTAGAGGGATTCCATGATTCTCTGTGCTGGAAGAATTTTTTCTTAAAATGTTGAGATGATAAGGACTCACTTCGTTGATACTTCAAAGGCACAGATGTAGCGCTAGATGAAGCTTGTCTGTCTTTTCCATGACCAGGTAAAGTTGCATTTACTGGGCTATATGGACCGTCTAATGGGGCAGGGCTGAAGGGCGCATTAGGAACAGGTGATGAAGGTGACGGAGTCCTGGCAACACCGGCTCTGTCAGCTGTATGTGGCGCCTCTAATACTGGCGGTGAATCCCTTTCAGGTGATGCCTTTGCTGGTGGTGTTTTAAAGAGTCTAGGCATCTTACTTAATGCTGGAGGTAAGGGTTCACCATGGCCTATACCGCTGTCAGGACTGGTATTACAGCTTGCTGTTGTCTCCCCTGCACGAGGAGAGGCACCTTCCGTACTTCTTCTCCTTTTATCCAGTTCTGTGGAAGCAAATGCTACCAGGCGGTCAAACTGGGAACTGATCTTGTCCTTCCATTCTCCTCGGCCGTCATCCATTTCACCATCGTCTGCAGAAGGGAAACAGAGACAAGTTATTACAAAAAAATACCTTAAATATGAGAAAAAAGTGTAAAAACATTTGGACCACTAACCAGGAGAGCGATCATCAACAGAGTTTGGCAGGTGAGAGGAACTAGGGTGGGCTGGGTGACTACTTCTTGGTGATATTGGTAATGACAGTCCTGCATTTTCTCCATCCTAAGGGCAAATTTCATGAGCACAAATATTAGACA